AGGGGACATGATAATAGTTTTCAAGTACATAAAAGGTTGTTACAAGGAGGAGGGAGAAAAATTGTTCTTCTTAACCTCTGAGGATAGGACAAGAAGCAATGGGCTTAAATTGCAGCAAGGGCGGTGTAGGTTGGACATTAGGAAAAAATTCCTAACTGTCAGAGTGGTTAAGCACTGGAATAAATTGCCAAGGGAGGTTGTGGAATCTCCGTCATTGAGGATCTTTAAGAGCAGGTTGGACAAACACCTGTCAGAGATGGTCTATGTAGATAATACTTAGTCCTGCCTTGAGTGCAGGGGACTGGACTAGATGACCTCTCGAGGTCCCTTCCAGATCTATGATTCTATGATTCTCAACCTCTTATGATTTTAAAACTTCATTTGCACATTGCACATGGGCTTAGATTTAAAATAAATAACTGAGGTCCCATGACTGCCGTTAAAAAATGGATGATTTTCACACCACAGTTTGCTTTGTGCCAGTTTTCCAGAATAAAGCCAGGTTAGCTAGCCATGCGTATAGAATATAGGTGGCATTTAGAAGCCACTACAATGGCTCCGCTAGCCCTTTTCTTGTGGCTGGCATAATGAGTCTCAGCCAGGGGTACACATACACCTGGGGGTAGCAGAGGTCTTCCAGAGGGTACATCAACTCACCTAGATATGTGCCTAGTTTTACAACAGGCTACAGAAAAAGCACTAGCAAAGTCAGTATCAACTAAAATTTCATATAGTGACTTGTTTATACTGCTCTATATACTATACACTGAAATGTAAGTACAATTTTTATATTCCAATTGATTTATTTTATAATCATATAGTAAAAATGAGAAAGTAAGCAATTTTTCAGTAATAACGTGCTGTGACACTTTTGTTTTTTTATGTCTGATTGTGTAAGCAAGTAGTTTTTAAGTTATGTCAAACTTGGGGGTATGCAAGATAAATCAGACTCCTGAAAGGGGTACAGTCATCTGAAAAGGTTGAGAGCCATTGCTTTAGAGAAAAGGGGGTGGGGTTACCAGAACCCACTGGGGCTATTGGCGAGATTAGAGGAGACTGCAGAATCAGACATTTACAAGGCAGCCTCAGGAGCAGTGTATCACATTGTTGCTGAAAGCCACCTTAAAGTGTGCATATGTACCCTCCAGATTTACATTTAATGCTCCTCAGCAAGACCCCAAGATCCAGCCCATAATTTAAAAATAAAAGAAGTAAATTGAGTTGCTGAAGCACAATGGATTCTGCAGCCATGGAATAGTGGGGACCTGACTGGAAACATTTCCTCCTGTGGTTTGTGTGGACCTTTCACCCAGCAACAGGGGAGAGAAGAACCCATGAAGGGCTCAGGTGTGCTATCTGATAGTACCTCGCTACTATCTCTATTAATTGACAAGAATCCCTTTAAGATATTTTGGCTATTTACCCAAATCCAAATTCTGAAGCTATTGGGTACATTCCACAGGCAAAAAACAAAATAATTGTTCCTCATAAGTAACTGTCTTTGAGCCAGGGAACAACTTAATCCCTGGGAGGAACAATTCAGCAGTATCCAGTGGGAGGCCTGAACTCTCAGACAAGGGAAACTAGAATCACTGTCTGAAACCTTCTCTCCTGCCGGCTTTGGCATAGAGAGGAAGAAAGCAGAGCCACCCCTGAGAACCTAGATGCTTACACCAGACAATATAATCCACTCTTCACGAAATGCGGGATTTTCAAATGTCAGCATAAAGCTCCCGAGGAGGGGTGGTGATTTCTTGGTGACCATACAGCTGTCAAGGGCTGTGGTTGCAGGGAGCATTCCAGTCTGCGCAGAATGTGCTCTTAACTTAAATGTAAACTTCAGTTGATGTAACCTCACTTTGACCAGTGTAGCTGCTGTTAATGCACTGTGGAATGTTGTCTGTATGGCAGATAGGAAAAACCAGGAGGGCAGCAAAAAAAAAAAAAAAAAAAATGGAGGGGAAAGTCAGTTGGTGTTTTCACCTCTTACATTTTTATTTGGCCTTGCACATTTGTTCTAGCAGTTCCTGGTGGTGCTTTTAGCACTTGCATTCATGTAAATTTACCTGAGTCTTGAGGTGCCCTAATTGTTCAGGTGTTTATAACTCCCCTGTTTTAATTCCTGTATTATGGTCTGCTATGGAAGAACTCATGCAAGGTGTGACACTCAGGCTTCAACTCATAGTCTGTAATCAATTGTCTGGTTGGATAGGAGGGGGACAGAGTTTTGTGTCCATATAGGCAGAGCAGGGAACATGGCTGTCTCACCCGAAGTCGTCCTGCATGCTGTGATGAAATCTCTTAGATTCTGAGTCATCTGTGTAGGCCTGGGATATTTGCATGGAGAGTCAGCATTTCTACACCCACACTGCCAATGCCTCTCTGATTCAGATTGAGCCTGGCATGCATTAGGCTGAGCTGGTCTTAAGGTATGAAGAGGGGAAAGTCCAATTTCTGCTCTGACTCACGTACCATGATGCTGCTTTGAAACAAAAGGGAGTTTCATGGCATTTGAGTCAGGGTATCAGTTGGTCCTAAGAGCTCAATACACACTGTTTAAGCACGTAATTTGGAAAGTAAGAATTAGAAACACATGGAAAAGAGACAGGGTTTGTAAAAGTATTTACTATAATGGATAAATAGTAACAGTCTAACTGAAATCCAGTTGTGTCTATGAAATTGCAAGCCCTCTCCAATATCAATAGACAATGTTTTTATTTTAGTAGGAGTGACTGCCCCTCTTACTGTATTATGGTTACTCTGGGAGGTTTTAATGAAGCCTTTCCTGTTCATTTTCAATGCTGCACAGCTGTAGAAAAGGAAATGTAATACTAAACCTCTGATACGTAAATGTCAGGGGCTGCATTTATACTGAGAGTAGCACGTAAAGGTTCTGTGCTCAGGCTGTCCTGTCATCATTTAGTTCACCATGTCTAGCTAGTGAAGCACAGAGGCTAGGCAGGATCACGTACTGTCTAGTAGCCCAAAATACCAACAAAACCTGTTCATATAGTTTAATCATACCTATGTACCCTGGGATATTCTACAGGTTTCTTTTCCTACACTAGTCAGATCTGATGTCTAGAACGAACGCTTAAGTATGTAGAAGACAGTAATAGAACCATGCATTTTTACCATCTACTTCAAATATGGTTCTGAATAAACACCTCTTTCAACGTCTAGCTAAGGAACAATAATTTGTGAAATCTGCATGGATCTGTATTTGAAAATTTGGGACACAAATAGCCATAGAGCAATCCGAACTATTTTTAGTTGAATGTTGTGCTCTAAAGAGAAAGCTCCTGCGAAAGCAGTTACTGGAAAATTGGAAGTGATGCCTACAACAATGCAGGAAACCAGGAATCTTGAATTTGCTGAAGATTACAAAGGACTTAATTTACATGACACATTTTATTTTGAAGTTCTATTAATTTTCTACCTGTATTTTATGCACTTCCATTGGAGGGATTTATTGCTACTGGAAGTTCCTCTTTTCCCAAATGAAGTGTAAAGATGCATATTATTCCTTTTAAGGAATAACATACTTAAATTATTTTGTACTACCCAGGAGAGGGCTGGGAAGTACAGGACACTTCTGGAGCAAATTCTAAGACTGGGGGTGTGTTGGGGTCGCCTCGTGGTATAACCCAGGCTGGTGAGAGCCAGAGTGTAACCCAAGTGTGGCTGACACACAAACACTCAGGGTGTGGCTTGCATGCTGGAAGGCCGCTGGTGAGTCACCCATTGGAAGATACTACAGCAAAGCATAGTGAGGCACCAAAGGGTGCAGGGCAGGGTGTGACACTGCTGCTCATTTGTCTGGATTGTACCCTGATATGTCACATAAAAGCTATGAAGAACTCCCTGTACTTTAGCAGAGATCTTATTCCTAATGCCCTGGCTGTATTTCAGTTTTGGGAATATACCTTGTGCCAAGTCTTGTTCAGACAAAACTGGCAGTAAGTCAATGGGAACTTTGTCTGTGTGTCAGCACAGAGTCAGGACTGCAGGATTTCTTCATTCAATCTAACTAAATTCCCCCAGCAGTTCTGACTGGCTATGGTAGACGTCTTCCTTTCCTGCCCTAAACTATTGTGTACAGTTGCCTTAAGCAGGACGGCTGCATTTCCAGCCGATGAAGAAGGTAATAATATATGTGCCATATTTCAGCGATGTGCCCTTTTACCATTCTAAGTGATAGTGGGTATCACTGTGAGAAAAAGAAGATTTTTTATTAAATCATGAGTTTTTAAAATAGTTTAAAAAATTACAACTTGATTTAATATTTATAAAAGTTAGGAAATGTATTTTCTGCTCCATCCCTTCAGCAATGTTACATCTTTCTGACAAGTGAATGCAATGGTGATATTTGATACATCCATTAATGCCTTGGTAGCATATAAATATCTTAGGTCAGCATTTCCCAAAGTATGAAGTGCATTCCCCTAGGAGAGGGAGGATGAATGTAAAGGATTTGCTGAGGGGAAAGAGGTGGAGGAGGTGCAGAAGATGTATAATTGCAGATGGATGGTCCCTTGACAACATATGGAGCATATGGTGAGGTTGAAGGGAGGCAACAATTCATTGTATTTTCTTGAAAGCCGGCTTGGCTTGCAAAAGTTTGGGAAGCACTCCTATTAATTAGTTATGCTATTAATAATTCCCCTGCCATTATGGAGCTTTGAACACGGCTGCACCTTGGTCCCTGCTGTTCTCTGCCTGTGGCACATAATAATCTAGTCTCCAGTGGTCTGTGATATTTTCATCTACTTTCAGCTGTTGGGTTTCGTGTGCAGGTTCTGAGTGGGTTGGTGGCCTGTGATGTGCAGGAGGTCAGACTAAATGATCTGGTGGTCCCTTCTGGCTTTAAACTTTAGGACTATGAAACAAAGTTGGTTTACATGTGCTACCTTCATCATGAAAGAGGCAATTTATGGAACCTACGGATAGTTTTGCTGTCAAATAACAGTGGTTCTTTGTGTGTACTCTTTGGTTCATAGATCAGTCTTACTGTGATCGGCTGAGGCAGGACATGTACTTTCTCACGAGCAATGGCAGACTGAGTGAGCACCTGGCTGATAAAATTATTCTTCAGCTAAACAGAGTTTATCCCCAAATTCTCACCAATAAAGAAGCAGAAAAGGTAAGTGGCTGGATATACCTGCAGTATTTCTGGATGTAGCTTTATTTTCTGGCTATCCTGCATCTAGGTTAGGACACCAACTGGTGAAGCTGCCCATGCCAACCTAGAAGACAAATCCCAAAACCTCTGAATGGTTGCCCCTTTGCTTTCTTACTATCTACAAAATGTGCACTCATCACTGTAGTATTTGAGAGCCTCACAGCTATTAATGAATCTCTCCTTACCACATCTCTGTGTGGTAGGAAAATATTATCTGGGAAATGGAGATCATGAGGAACTGAGGCCTTTGTTACCAAGTTTGCCCTGGGGTACTTTGGGGTACACTCATTTATTAGGGTTACTCTTCTGTGGGGGTGGGGTTCCGTAATTCTATCGATGTACTGCTTGTGTCACGTGTGTTTTCATATGGAGCGCTACTTCTCCCTTCTGCAAGTCCCCTCCCAATGGAGCTATCCTGCAGGACCTAGGTCCCCCAGGGCTGGGTTCCTCCAGCTCTAGAACTGGATGAACACACAAACACACACACATTAAAGGAGCAAATCTGAGTGGACTGGGTCAATCAGCACTTTCAAGCTGACCCCTTATATGCCCCTGGACTCAGTGGGCTGCGTCAAGCAGCACTTTCAAGCTGTCACCCTTATGTGCCAAAGCTACGACACCGGAATAGAGTACGCCTGGGCGGGCTAGGTTGAACAGCACTTCCAGGCTGCCACCCTCATGTGCCCCTGGATGCAGTCATCTGGGTCGAGCAGCACTTCCAAGCTGCCACCCTCGTACGTCACAGGTTCAGCACGTCCCTATCCCCACTTTCACATCACAATTGTACTGGTAGTAACCCACTGAATGAGCAAACCCCACAGGATTTGGGGGCACTACAGGGATCTTTAGCTGAGGTAAAAGAAGTGTTGCTGCAGAGTAAATGGGGAAGCTAAAAACACAAAAGAGTAAAGTTCAGAGAGAGAGAGAGGCAACCAGCTTAACCATAAAAGTTAGTTATTGAATAATAGTGATAACTACACAAGGAGAGCCTAAACCAACATAACAGTTACATTATTAAAGGTTACAAAAGTCATATATAGAAAACCTGAGGTAGAACAGAAAACAGAGAGAGAGGGGGATAGAGGGATCTCACCCACTCCATAAAGCTTGAATTGGTCGGGGTTCCCAGGTGATGGTGGTAGCTCAGGGTCCTGAGTGCTGGAGACAGGCAGAGCCCCCAGCACGATCAGTCAGGAGAAGATGAAATCCCAGTGGAACTGTTACAGAGTTTAGGTCCATGCATCAGAACATTTACTTGAACATAGGTAGGGGTTTTTGTAGAGAAACAACAATGATCCAAGGGAGAACACTAGATTTGTTTATGGGTAAACTGGTGACTCAAGGGTTTTCTTTAGGCTAGACAATAGGAGCTGATCACTTTTGGCTATGGGTGGTGTTTCTTACCAGGGAGCTCACAATGCAATTAGGCTGCTTCGGTATTTTGGATATCAATCAAGGATTTATTACTAGAATTGGTCTGATAACTGCTGAGCTGGGTGTGTGCAGGTGTAGGTTCATTAACATCTGGAGCATGGATCCCCCATGATGCAGTGCTTCCCTACTTTTCTGGTCCCAGAGTTCAGTGCAGTGCTCTGTTCTCTATTCTGTATGCTAATGAAGATGCCTCCCTGTCCCATCTTTCATGCAGACGAGGCATGGGGAGTTGCCTTTGTTCTTGTCACCCCTGTCAGGAGGGGTCTAGGTGTGTCTCCCAACACCCTTCACTGCTCTCTGCAAGTCTTTTCTCTGATTGGTTTTGGTTCAAACAGAGACTGGTGTGGGTCGGGGTGTGTGTGTGTTTCATGAGTCAGACAGGCTGGATACTGCGCCCTGATTCCCTAAGAACACAGAGCTGACTGGTATCACCTTGTCGTTATTACAAGGTTGGACCAATTTAATGAAAGGAGTGTTTTTAAAGCAAATCCCCGTGCTAAATTAATACAAGCCAGGTTTAAATTGATTTAAGTGTGTCCAGACCAGGGTTTAACAAAACTGATTTAAAAATGCACCCTTAGTTAAACTGGGGCAAATTGGAATACAGATCAGGCCTGAGGCAGTAAAGCCAGCAAAGCCAACCTTTTCAAAGTGGTCCTTGCTTTGGGGTACAAAATTATTTATGCCAGTACAAAGCGAGTGCAACATGGGTATAAAATGCCGTCACATCAGAATGGTAATAGTTTGTACTTGCTCTGTATGCAAGATGCAGAGGGCAATGGTGAATCAGACTTTTAGGCCTGGTCTACACTGGGGGGATCGATCTAAGTTACGCAACTTCAACTATGTGAATAACGTAGCTGAGGTCGATGTACTTAGATCGACTCACCGCAGTGTCTTCACTATGGTGAGTCGACTGCTACCACTCCCCCGTTGATTCTGCCTGTGCCTCTCGCTGAGCTGGAGTACAGGAGTCGATGGGAGAATGCTCGGGGGTCAATTTATCACGTCTAGACTAGAGGCGATAAATCGATCCCTGCTGGATTGATCGCTGCCCGCTGATCCTGCAGGTAGTGTAGATATACCCTTAGAGTTCAAAATAATAGGTTGGATCCTGTTTGGCATCAGTTTCAATTCCATCTGCCACCACTGAAATGAGTGGAGTTATTGCAGTGTAAGATGGTGTCTGTCCAGACCAGAATCCAAACCATTCTATCTGCATAGTTAGGGGAAGAGGTCTGACTTAGATGATATGAGATGTAAACAGTTAAAAAAAGGCTCATTCATTTAGGATTCACAGTAAATTTAAGTCCTGACGTTATGAAAGCTGGATGCCACTCTTACTCTCATGCTGAAACTGATCACTTTCCCCTGAGCTCGTGTACATTTGTTCTCTTTTTCATTTCCAAAACTTGTACATATTATGCTCCATCTTGCACACCTTACACTACTGGCCTCCCAGGGCTTCAGTGGGAATTTTGCCTGAGTAAGGAGCATACGAAGGCATTCCTCTAGATAAGAAATCAATCCTAAGTGTAATGTTATCTCTCTCTACCATACTGATCCTAAGTGTAATGCTTTTATATTGATTTGCCAGATAAATTTTTGAACACTTTGCAAATGCACTCATGTCTAAATGATTTCAGCTAAGGTTAGGTGCAACATTTTCACTCTCACTGTAAGGTTTACTACTGTTCAGCACTTTGTCAGACCATGGAGAAGGCCATCTCTTCCTCTGTAGCAACATGGATAGGACGACAGGATGAACACAAAGAGTGACACATTAGTACTATCATGATGGCTAGAACATGTCCTGGCCAAACTCCAGAAAACTGTGGAAAAACTCTTTACATGTTTGTCCCAGTTCTGAGATGTGCATTTTTAATAAGACTAAATTAGAAGTAGAGAACTTTTTATTAGCCAATGGCATCAAAAGTATTTCTATTAGTGCTGTATTTACAATAAATTGGTTCCTTGCTAACTCAAACTCTGGGGAAATGATAAGCATCCTATTGTGTGGGCTACACTGCAGTTGATCAGATGCTAAAACAATGTTTGATCAAACTAAGTTAAGCAGCTGGTTCAAATTGTGGGTGTTGACATTTGAGGTCTGAATCATTATTTTTGTTTCCTATCCTAGAATGCTCATGTACTGACAGATACTTTTAGCAAAATAAACATAACTCTATATTTTCACTCTTTCATAATGTAAATGTAGGGTAGGAACTAATTCAGCACTGTATCATTGCTTTTGTAGTCTTTGTTCTAATGACTGCTTTTTCTCGTACAGTTCAGAAATCCAAAGGCATCGCTTCATATTCGGTTGTCAGATCTTATAAGCCACCTACAAAAGAAAGGAGACAAACACTGTCAAGAATTTTACAGGGCTTTACAGATCAATGCTGAGCAACTGTATAATGACTTGCCAAGCAGAAAAATCCTGAGTAAGTTGGGAGACTTGTGGCTTCCCTGAGTCAATGTATCACAAAATTTGCCTTTGCTGGCATCCCAGCTTATTTTGAGGAATTAAATGCTCTTTTTCCAATTGTTACTTTCTACAGACTGGAGGATTTAGAAGCCACCTAGTGGATTGAGTGCACCATTAATTTTGATTGGAAATGGATGTCCAAATCTCTTTACCAGCTTTGAAATCTCAGCCCCTGTATTTATGATACAATTTATGCCCAGCATGTAAAATGCAGAAAAATAACCTAATTCAAACTTTCTTTCTTTTAATAACTGCCTCTTTCCCTTTTTTGCATTTTGTTTAATAGCCCATTTATTTATTTTTCAAGCCTTGATTCTGACTTGTAGTAAATAAAAGAGCTATGTTTTAAAATAACAAGTGTGTGACACAAAGTAACAAAATCAAGGCGCTCAGAGACTTGGCTTCCACTCAATTCTTAAATCACCCAGCTGTGCTTCATTAACTCCACACACATCAGATATTAGATCACGCTTGTTTCACAAATACTTGCAATGGCAAACCACAGTGTTAATTACCTGGACCCTGATCCTGCAAACACATAGGCACGAGTAGTCACACTGAGTCTATGGGCCTTATTACATGCATACGTATTTGCAGGATTGAGGCCTTAGCTATTTCCATTTTTTATACTGCAAAGCAGATCTTTTTCTAAAAGCAGAGAGATGAGGTCCAGCTTACTGTGCCGGGAAAATAATGCTTGCCATGTATGACTCATCCTGTCCAGTAAACTGAAGAAAGAAAAAATGCTCAAAGAGGAAGTGAAATACATTCAGCACATTGAAACAATTTGAGTAGCATTAGGAAGGGCTGTTGCAATTAGGTTAATGAAGCTGCAAAAGGGCTGCATGTTACAAAGTCCCTACAAACTGTCTAATAGCACTGATGCTGCACCATTCAACCCCCGAGTGGTTTTGAGTAGCTCTTCAGTAAAATTCCAGCAGAGTTTTTGGTCATGTGGTCAAACCCCTAAGATTGACAGCGTAAAGACAAAAACAGGCCAGGCCAAAAATCCGAACATCTGTCTTTAATTAATATGTAACAAATAATTTTTTGGAGAACAATTGACCTGGAAAATAGTTACTGTGTTTCAGAACACTGAGCCTCCTGCCTTCATCTAGCATCTCTTTATGCAGTACAGCTGTTGTACACACTGAACTAGAAACCCCTACTGATTTGGAGATAGCATCCTCTTCATACCACACACAGGCCATCTCCTGGATAATATGCAGACTCCAAAGTTAGCCCAAACTTCCCTCACAGTTGGAGGGTGTTTGCATGTGGGCTTTGATTTGGGTCCATTTCTATATCAGAAGTCCACATTGGTAATTATCACAGCAGCATTAAGTCTGGCCCTTTGATTTGATGTGCGCCTCGCAGAAGCCATCCCTGCTGCGGCTGTGTGGAAGCTTGGATCAAACACACTAGTATCTCAAAGAAATCTGTCGCTTTAGCTGAAGGAGTCAGGAATAGAAGCGCAGAGTTACCCTTCCAGGCTGAGCAGAGGACAGCCAACAGTCATCACTTAGGAAGGGCTTGATTCTGCAGCCCTTGCTCACCCAAATACTCCTGCTGAATTCACGGAGGGTAAAATTTTCAAAAGCACATTAATGACTTAGGAGCCTAATTCCCATTCATTTTTTAAATCAGATATTAAGTTTTTAAGATCCCAAGTCCCTTTGAAAATGGGACTTAAGCCCTTCTGAAAATTGTGCCCTGAGCCTACTCCAGGGAGTAGATGTATCAGGATTGGACCCTCACACATTAAGGGTGAGAATAGCAAGTGGGGCTACTAGACGTGTAGAGTGAAGTAAAGCATAGAGGTGTTCCTGCATCTGTGGGATAAATGAGACAGCATTTTGCACATTGAATAATATTCAAAGCAGTCCCAAGACTGCTTTTGCCTCACTTGTGTGGTACAACCACAAAGCAGCATTACATTCCCTATTCCTTAGCAGACTCTCTTATGTCATTGACATGAGTAGTATCATTAAGATTTCTGTGCTAAAACACATGCTATAACTATATTGTCATAGATTGCAACTTCCTTAGTCTCACATAATAAGGAAATAAATTATGTATTCTGAGAGCATTGTAAGTATTTGTATATTAGAGGTTAGATAGCTAAACTGGTTGATCCTCAGACTGGATTAATTTGCTAATGTTTGTGAAAATGTGACGTGCCAAACAGCTGGTGTGTCTTGTTATTACTAATGCATGAACTAACAGCGCATGAAAAGTAACCTTCTTAAAAACACAGTCCCTTTCTAAACTAAAGCAGCAGAAAGGAAGCCTATTGTTTTTACTTCTCACTGAAGTAAACTTGAATTGGTTAAATACTGAGGTCCTGATCCTTCAAGCCTTCAAGCACATGCATAACTTTACTTGCGTGAGTAGTTGTCCTGTTGTTGAGTAAAGTTAAGCATGTGCTAAGGATTTGGGCCCTAACATTGTAAATATGAAGAAAGAAATGACATCTTCAAGCTGAGATCTTTGTTTGGTTTCATCCTAATCTTTATTTAGAGCAAAGTTATGAACACCTAAAAAAGAGTTTGTAGTGGGATTTGCCAAATACAAATCATGCCAAACCAGCCTAATTTCCTTCTTTAATAGGGTTACTGACCTAGCAGATAGGGGGGAAGCAGTAGATGTGATATATCTTGATGTTTTTAGTAAGGCTTTTGATTCAGTTACACATGACATTCTCATAAGCAAACTAGGGACATGTGGTCTTAGATGAAATTACTATAAAGTGGGTGCACAACTGGCTGAAAGTCCATACTCAAAGAGTAGTTATCAACGGTTTGCTGTCACTTGGATAATGGTTTGCTTGTGACTTGGATAATGGAGTGGAGAGTGTGCTCATGAAATATGCAGATGGCACCCAGATGGGAGGGATTACAAGTACTTCGGCAGACAGGATTAGAATTCAAAACGACCTTGACAAATTGGACAATTGGCCTGAAATCAACAAGATAAAATTCAATAAAGGCAAATGCAAAGTACACCATTGGAAAGGAAAAATCAAATGTACAGCTACCAAATGGGAAATAACTGGCTAGATGGTAGCATTGGCGAAAATAATCTGAGGGTATAGTGAACCACAATCTGAATATGAGTCAACAATGTGATGCAGTTGCAAAAAAGCCTAATGTCATTCTGGGGTGTATTAACAGGAGTGTCGTATGTAAGACTCAGGAGGTAATTGTCCTGCTCTACTCAGCACTGGTGGTGCCTCAGATGGAGTACTGTGTCCAGTTGTACAGTTCTGGACACCACACTTTTGAAAAGATGTGGACAAATTGGAGAATGTCCAGAGGAGAGCAACAAAAATGATAAAAGTTTCAGAAAACCTGACCTATGAGGAAAGGTTAAAAAAACTGGGCTTGTTTAGTCATGAGAAAAGACTGACGGGGGGATCCGATAACAGTCTTCAAAATATTTGAAGGGCTGTCTAAAGAGGATCAATTGTTATAAAGGGGATTAATTGTTCTCTGTGCCCATTGAAGATAGGACAAAAAGTAGTGGCTTAATCAGCAGCAAGGGAGATTTAGGTTAGATATTAGGAAAAACTTTCTCATTATAAGCGTGGTTAAGCTCTGGAATAGGCTTCCAAGGAGGGTTATGGAATCCCCGTCATTGGAGATATTTAGAAACAGGTTAGACAAATACCCGTCAGGGATGGTCTAGGTTCCCTTGGTCCTGCCTCAGTGCAAGGGTCTGGACTAGTTGACTTCTCAAGGTCCCTTCCAGCCGTATGACTCAATAACATATAGTACAAACACAGTTTGGGGCGTGGGGAAATAGTTTCTCCAAATTGCCTTTTTAAAGAAAAACTATTGTAAATTTCAAACCTTCCAGCCCTATGACTCAATAACATATAGTACAAATACGGTTTGGGGCATGGGGAAATATTTTCTCCAGATTGCCTTTTTAAAGAAAAACTATTGTAAATTTCAAAGTTTTTTCACAATCTTAAAAGACAACAAAAATTCTTCCTTTCTCATTAAATATAGAGCTTGAAGATAAATGTCTAGTCGCGTTACAAGGGGCCCGCCGGGGGGCGAGGGGGTAGGGAGTGGGGGGAAGGGGCTAGATACATGATACTGATTGTTTCTGATGTATTCTGAAGCTTTGAATCAATTCTTATTCTCTGATACTGATTGAAGTTCATTTTTCATTTCTCTTTATACTGACAGAGAACAGAATGATAAAGGGCTAGATCATCCCCCACAGGACTACCCTGGTAAGGGGCTGGGAACTCTGCAGGGCCGCTCTCCTAGGGTGCTCCTGGCATTGTCCTTGTGGGTGGTTCTCATGCAGCAGACAAGCAGGCCAGCCCTCGAAACCAGCCGATCAGTCATCATAGGTTTTGAGGACTCCATAGAGGCTTTGGAGAGGGGCTTTTTTCCTCCTGACTCTTGCCAACCTCTTGGCAAAAAGGTTCAGCAGCATCTGTGCTGTCTGAGGCTTCCCACTTCAGTGAGTGCTTCTGTAACGCCACTCAGAGGGATGTCAGAGCATGGGAGAAGAGAGCTCCCAAGCTAATGCTGGCTAAGGCAGAACTAACCTGGGCAGGTTTGCTATGTTGGATTGGTGTGGTCGGGGCAATGTGTAGCAAGGGCTCATGCACCCCCGTGATCCCCTTGTGGATCCAGAGCCCGGAGGGGTTTCTGTGGTGGAAGTGGAAATGATGCCAAGGAGGTGCATTTACCCCATTCTGCAGCGCTTTGGGGGAGGTCTGCCATGCTTTTGTTCCAGCTGCCCAGGGAGCTGGATGGGCTGATTGGGCACAAAGGTACCAGAAAAATCAATATAATAAAAGATCTCAAATTGCTGCAATGCAAATTTGGAATTCAAACAAACTATAGATTTTTTTTTTATTTGAAAAATTAACCAGCCTCCCACAACTAAATTCTTCTGACTGAAAAGCTCCTTCCACAAATCAGACAGTGTTTCAGTGGAACAATTTTGTAATATTAATTAAACATTAGGAGCAATATTCATTGGTCCTGGTGTTTCCACAGTAAGAAGCCTGCCAGACCTGTGCCACGCTGAGCTCCACATTCTCAGAGGCCTAGATGTCTCTTGAAGGAGGATCCCCTCCTGCCCAGGGCAGTGGTGCTGGAACTAGGGTGTTGGGGGGTGCTGCTGCACCCCCTGGCTTGAAGTAGTAATAATCCAAATACATGGTTTCCATCATCAGCACCTCCACTATAAAAATTGTTCTAGCACCCTGGCTCAGGGTAAGAGTTACAGACTCTGCTCTTTCTGGGCTTTGGTAATAATATATGCCCACTCATTTGCCATCATTTAGGGTAACCAAATGTCCCAGTACAGGGGGACAGTCCCAGGATCCTAGCCAGAACCTAGCATGGGGATTGGCTGCCTGGTTACTATCACGGTGTCTCCTGTTCCATCCTGTCCCTGCACTTGAGCTGCATTGTCTTCTAGAAAGTGATATGTGGTCAACCATCTATCTTAACCAGTGGACAGGCAGTATAATAAGCCATGATTAACATGTGTCGAGCAATGCTAGTTATACACACTCTGAGACCTGCATGTTTAGTGTCAGAGTTCCCTGAATGGGGACAGAGGGTGCTTTCACACTATAGCAAACTGATAAAACACTGTCAAAATTAAATAAATGACTTCTCTAGCTGTGATTGCTAACAGTGGAAAATCTTGTTGACAGGCTGGATTCCCCTGCTGTTTGATTTTGCAGAAAAGTACCAATCTCAGGACCACATCCGATGTGCCAGATGTGAGCACGCAGAACCCATTGACGTCAATGGGAGTTGCAGATGTGTGTATCTGAAAGCAGAATTCGGTCTCTGATGTTGGCTCTCCAAGTCCATCGCCGTGTAGGTTGTTTTCATGGCAAAAACACAGCTCTGTGACTTGGCTGTAGGATGATGAGGAGAACATCGATGGCTGTGGGAATAAACCCTTGTTTAAATCCTGATATTTTTGTAGCAATCCGTTTTCATAGTGACTGTTGATTTGAACTTTGTCCCAGTATGAAAGCCTCTCTCTGATGTAATGTATTACCAGTCTTCCTCAACTCTCTGGGCATTCACATATCTGACAGGAGAAATGTACAGAACAATCTGACTGTTTGAGGCCTTGGTCTAGCAAGGCTCTTAGTCATAGGAGTGATTTTACGCATGTGAGTACTTTCACTGGTTGCCCATCAGGCCCCACTGGGACTACTGGCACGCTTAAAGTTATGCATGTGATTAAGTGCTTTGCTGGACCAGGACTATAAAACCTCAACGTCTTCCACCTGCGCTGAAATGATGAATTCTCTATTTCTTTAATAAACACAGGGCCTGATTAACTGCAGCGGTGACATGTCTTTAGAAGGGGTGAAATATTTCACATAAAGATTTACTATCTCTCTGAAAAGTGGTAATACAGACTTTCCCTCCGTTTTGCATGAATTGATACAGAAGCGTGTTGGCTTGTGCTCAGTACTAACTCTTGGTGTGTTGCTTTTATTTCTAGAAACCTCAGCTTCCACAGCGATAGACACAGACAAGGAGAAACATATTCTAACTGACAGGGGTAAATAAAATGCATATAATACCATTGGACAGAATGATACTTTCAGATGACGATGCAGTTTATTTTACAACTTAATTTACATTTATGGAGCAAATAATTTGTTCTCCTATGTCTTTATTGTAGCTATTTAAATAGGTTCAACTTGTATTAGAGGAAAACTTATTCAGCCTGCAATGGAGAAATCTGGTGTCATAGAATTCAAGAGATTATAGAGCTTTAGGCAACATTTACATTGGCATTATTTTTAAATTTGGCATATTTTAGCTAGTGTTTAATTTTCCCTGCCCTTCCAATACTTTAGCAATAAAGGGTTTTACAACGATTGTTGTGCTTTTGCAGAAGAACCTTGTTACATCACTTTTGCAGATTAGTGAGTAGACAAAAAACAACCAAACAAATAAGAGAAAACCAACAGCAATAACAAAAAGCCCCAATAATAATGGTGAACTAAATATACTTTGTCCATTACCGGTAAATTGTGTCTTTTCCCTTGCCCCACTCAGTGCTGTGGTGGGGTCCTGACAGCAACATAGCCAGCACAAGAAGGGGAGGGTAAGCTTTTTAGGAAGCTGTGCAAAAGGTCAGCGCACCTTTGTGCTCCATCATGCTGAGTAAGGGGCTGTGGATTGGAGACCACTCGTATCCTCTAGCCATTTTCCCTAGGCAGCCACACCAAACTGTTGTAATGATGACCCTGAAGTAGCAACTGCAGAGTGACTGCACTGCTGGAAAATTTCTACTTCCTGCTCTCCCTGTGTCTGTGGACAACCCCAGCACGTAGTCCATTTGATAGGCTAGAACTGGGATTTGCTCCTAAAAGGATAAATGCAGTTTAGGTGGATTCATGATAGCACTTCCCAGTATGCTAGTAAATGTATGCTGCCATGTTATGTAATAGGGAAGAAGTCGTGGTAACCTGAGGCCTCGCTACAGCACTCAGCCATTAAACATTGGCCAATTTTTGTCTGGGGCTGAGTGAAGTGTGGATTAGCAAGGTTCTATCATACTTTAATATAAGTACCATATTTCATTTCAGTTGGAAATGTTTAAATGGTTTCCAGTCAGGGATTTGAATTAAATATACAAATAGCTTTGCATCTCAGTTGCATTCAGAACCATGAACAGCAACAGAAAACATTTTAAATATCATATTCATTACTTTGCAGTGCACATCTAAATGCATTCACACACCATACTCTTCCCAATTCATTTTATATAAGTAAGAATATACATCTCTATACTGATAGCTGACATTTAAATAAATGAGATGTATATCCACTCAGAAATGTGAAAATCTTGGGTGTTAATTACATACAGAATGGTTGATGACTGGCCTTTTTCCTTTTCTTTTTCTTTCTGGCCATAGTTTATTTCATGAGTTCTGATCCTGCAGTCCTCGCTTAGAGAAAATTCTCAAGAAAGTCAAGGTAACTGAAGTCAGGAGTTTTGAGCATGGACTGAAGGACTGGACCCATAAAGAGCAGTAATTCTTCCTGGTGGAGAGCCAGGAGACGGGAAAGATGAAGAATGCAAAGTATAAAAAAGAAACATTATGAAAAACTACTTATTTGGGGTCACATTTCAATACCGTCACTCTCAGTGAATAGTACCTTACTCTACGAGCAGTTCACTGACATCCATGCGACTGCTCGGGGAGTTAGGTGCCCCTTAGTGTGCGTGAATGTATCAAAATCTGGCCCTTATTTTGCCATTTTTGTTTAAAAACAAAAAAGGAGGTGTTTTTTTTTACACAAACTAGACATTTTTATGTAAATCTAAAACCTTTTTCGTGTGTAATCAGGCCTCCCATTCTGAGTTCTTATTAGAACAAGAGAGGCTAACAATCTCAGAGTAATTACAATACAAAACACTTACAATAAAGTGATTGTATTTTATAGTACAATAGGCACAGAATATACCTAATTATGGTTATGCAAACTTCATGTGAATAATCTTAGCCATGCATATGAATAATAACTGAGGTTAGTGAATCATCAGATAAACTAAACTTTCACTTTTCTGTGCTCTTTTACTAAATTCACTTTTCCTTTTTCGTCCTTAGGTCCCATGTTCTTCCTTGCTTGCTTTAGTGTTGCTGCAGGATTAGCATTGTTCATGTACTGCTGGAACCCAGGTAATCTACTGAATTGTTTTAAAGGGAAATTTTTATTCTCAATCACTTTAAGGTAAAACACATTTGAGGGGTTCCCTGCATATCTTAAGAACATAAGAACGGCCATACTGGGTCAGACCAAAGGTCCATCTAGCCCCGTATCCTGTCCTCTGACAGAGGCCAATGCCAGAGCCCCAGAGGGGATGAACAGAACAGGTAATCATCAAGTGATCCATCTCCTGTTGCCCATTCCCAGCTTCTGGCAAACAGAGGCTAGGGACACCAGCCCTGCCCATCCTGGCTAATAGCCACTGATGGACGTATCCTCCGTGAATTTATCTAGTTCGTTTTTGAAATAATATCTTGACTACTGACTAATCTAATCACCTTCTATGATGAGATTACTGGTTCTGTGGATGAAGGGAAAGCAGTGGATGTATTGTATCTTGACTTTAGCAAAGCTTTTGACACGGTCTCCCACAGTATTCTTGTCAGCAAGTTAAGGAAGTATGGGCTGGATGAATGCACTATAAGGTGGGTAGAAAGTTGGCTAGATTGTCAGGCTCAACAGGTAGTGATCAATGGCTCCATGTCTAGTTGGCAGCCGGTGTCAAGTGGAGTGCCCCAGGGGTCGGTCCTGGGGCCGGTTTTATTCAATATCTTCATAAATGATCTGGAGGACGGTGTGGATTGCACTCTCAGCAAATTTGCGGATGATACTAAACTTGGAGGAGTGGTAGATACGCTGGAGGGCAGGGATAGGATACAGAGGGACCTAGACAAATTGGAGGATTGGGCCAAAAGAAATCTGATGAGGTTCAATAAGGATAAGTGCAGGGTCCTGCACTTAGGACGGAAGAACCCAATGCACAGCTACAGACTAGGGACCGAATGGCTAGGCAGCAGTTCTGCAGAAAAGGACCTAGGGGTTACAGTGGACGAGAAGCTGGATATGTGCCAGCAGTGTGCCCTTGTTGCCAAGAAGGCCAATGGCATTTTGGGATGTATAAGTAGGGGCATAGCGAGCAGATAGAGGGATGTGATCGTCCCCCTCTATTCGACATTGGTGAGGCCTCATCTGGAGTACTGTGTCCAGTTTTGGGCCCCACACTACAAGAAGGATGTGGATAAATTGGAGAGAGTCCAGCGAAGGGCAACAAAAATGATTAGGGGTCTGGAACACATGAGTTATGAGGAGAGGCTGAGGGAACTGGGATTGTTTAGTATGCAGAAGAGAAGAATGAGGGGGGATTTGATAGCTGCTTTCAGCTACCTCAGAGGTAGTTCCAGAGAGGATGGTTCTAGACTATTCTCAGTGGTGGAAGAGGACAGGACAAGGAGTAATGGTCTCAAGTTGCAGTGGGGGAGGTTTAGGTTGGATATTAGGAAAAACTTTTTCACTAGGAGGGTGGTGAAACACTGGAATGCGTTGCCTAGGGAGGTGGTGGAATCTCCTTCCTGAGAAGTTTTTAAGGTCAGGCTTGACAAAGCCCTGGCTGGGATGATTTAATTGGTTTGGGTCCTGCTTTTGAGCAGGGGGTTGGACTAGATGACCTCCTGAGGTCCCTTCCAACCCTGAGATTCTATGATTCTATGATTCTATGACTAAAAGCTGCTTCTACACTAGAGCTAATGGAAGATGTCATCATTCGTTAATGAGGTTAGGATGCAACCTGTGCCCCAGATATGCTAGGAGATAATTAATAAAAAGCTCACAAATGAGAAGAGTCACTTTTTAAAGATCTAAACCATAGTACTGTGAACTCTCATTGCTACAGCAGGCCGAGAGGATTCATGCTTCCAAATTAGAAAACTTATTTAAGTAGTTAATTGAAGTCTAATCAGTGCCTGCACTCTTAGTTACTTAATCACAAGGAGGGAATTTTTTTATTATTATTATTTTTTCTGTCTGGACCTTCAGCATATGATCAGTACAAATACCTGACTTACATAGAAAAAATCATTTTTATTGTTGTGACCTGTACCACTTGCATGGAGAGTAGTTTTCCTAGATTTCCTCCCTAAAGGCATGCACCTTTTAATGGCTCATGAATAAACACTGCCTGCCCACCCCCGTACAAGTCCCCTTCGGTAAATGAGTAGGTCTGCTTGTTCTGAGAATTAAGGACTTGTGCATTGCCCAGGGTCCTGTTCTGCAGCCCTTACTCAAGGTGACTAATGCTAATGTAAGTAATCCATTGGTTCAAGTGGTATGAATGAGTACTACACAGCGTGGGAAGGGTTGGAGAACTGGGCCCTTACTTGATAGCTGATTTAATCCTTTTTCCCTGCAGTATAAAAGACTCCCAACAATATAACATCTAAAGAAATAGGTATGGGGGCACGCTGATATTTGAAGGTGGTTCTCTTTAAAGCACGTTAAAAAATCAGTTGTAAATAAGGTGTAGATAAATATTTGTCAATCTGTGACCTAAAACAACACCCATCACCCTGGTATCTGAGCACCTAACTATCAAAAAATAAATACTGGCAGATTCTTCTTACACTCGAGCTCTGCTCCATGCAGGGATATATGTGTGTGGGTGCGAGCAGGAGGGGGAATTAAGGTGCTGGTAACAACACCCTGATTCTGAGGGCCCACCCTAACACTGCTTAGAGCTGTTGCCTTAATGGACTCTATGCCATTAAGAGGATTGGTGTAATGGAGCAGACCTCTGCCCTGGCCCCTCACCATCTCCCTACAAGCATAAGGCACAATGTCTGATGCAGTGACAGGGAGTTCCCCTACAGCAGCGGACTTCTCTGATGGGGATCTGAGACTGGATTATGGCCTCTTTCTGCCACCTGGGTGGGGCTAAGGGGCCATGACAGGGCTTGTGAATCCCACCCTTAGAGTATTTCAACTTTGTTGAGAGTGGTAGCCGTGTTAGTCTGTATCAGCAAAAACAACAAGGAGTCCTTGAGGCATCTTAGAGACTAACAAATTTATTTGGGCATAAGCTTCTGTGGGCTAAAACCCACCTCATCAGATGCATGGAGTGGAACATACAGTGGGGAGGTATAAATACACAGCATATGAAAAGAAGTGGGTTTTAGCTCACAGAAGCTTATGCCCAAATACATTTGTTAGTCTCTAGAGTGCAACAAAGACTCCTTGTTGTTTCAACTTTATTTGCTTCTCCTGGGAAGATACTGCTTGGGCCTGAATGATCTTGGCAAATTAAGTCATAACTTGAGCCTGGTGTATTTACCATGAGGATGTTCATCTATTTCTTTTGGAGGAGATTCTTTGGTTTTTTGCTTAACACTGCTCATAACAGTGGGCAAATGCTGGTTGCCTGCCACAGCACCAGAGTTCACATATAACAGTTTGAATATGAGTCATCAATGTGATGCAGTTGTAAAGAAGCCTGCTATCGTTCTGGGACGTATTAAGAGGAGTGCCAGATATAAGACACAGGAGGTAATTCTCCCGTTCTACTCAGCATTGGGGAGGCCTCAGTTGAAGTATTGTGTCTAATTCTGGGTGCCACGCTAGGAAACATGTGGACATATTGGAGAGAGTCAAGAGGAGAGCAACAAAAATAAGAAAAGGTTTAGCAAACCTGACCTATGAGGAAAGGTTAAAAAAACTGGGCATGTTTAGTCTTGAGAAAAGAAGACTGAGGTGGAGACCAGATAAAAGTCTTCCAGTATGTTAAGGGCTGTTATAAAGCGGATTATGACCAATTGTTCTCCATGTCCACTGAAGGTAGGACCAAAAGTCATGGGCTTAATCAGCAACAAAGGAGATTGAGGTCAGATATTAGGAAAAACTTGCTGACTAAAAGGGTAGTTCAGCTCTGGAACAGTCTTCCGAGGAAGGTTGTGGAATCCCCATCATTGGAGGTTTTTAAGAACAGTTTGGTTTTTGGACAAACACCTGTCAGGGATGGTCTACGTTTACTTGGTCCTGCCTCAGGGGGATTGAGTCTGAATACGTTTCAGGGTCCCTTCCAGCCCTAGGTTTCTATGATTCTGCTTCCTTGAGTCCCTTCCATTCTAGCTTCAGTTGAACACAGTGTTCTTTATTCCTTCCCCAGAGCACTAGTGCTGTTGACAAACACCAGCTCATGGACGACTTAAGCCAAAGAGATCATTTTGATAAATATTGAACATGTGTCAAAAGTGATCCATAGGTGTTTTTTTTTAACTTGAGATTCTGAAATACTCCCTGTTAAATTGCTTTTGCAAATCAAAGCTCCCTTAGCTAGGCTTTTCAGTTCAGTTAATTCACAAAGTACTCAAAGGAACAGCTTTCCCCCAGAAACATTTTTGTAAAGAATCTTTGCAAAACGCTGTTTATTAAAACTGTACTTATCAATTGATTACTTCACTTTCTTTTTTCCCCTCCGACCTTTTTGTTTTTGTTTTAGATCCAAAAGTTATAGGAGGAGCCAAGAAAATATTGGGATTTTCTCCTATTATCATAGGAAGACATGTTAGAAATATTTGTTTGGTATACATAGAAGATACATCAAGGAAAAATTAAGGAAAAGCCGCTTCTTCAGTCTTCTGTACAGTATACCTGCCAACGGGAAAACAAATATATACACACACACTATCTATTATACCAAAGATTTAGGTAACTGGCTTTAGCAGTAAATATGCTGCTTCAAGGTGCTTTCAAATGGTCAACTATATATGAACTTGTGGAAATGGATCGTTTATTTTTGTAAATGCTTCTTTTAAAATACTTATCATTTGAGTATGAATATTTTTAATACACACCTTAAAAGGATATTCTAAGTCATTATAGCTCTTAAGCCATGTTTGTGTATTTGTGTTTTATACTGGTGTAGAGGAACACAGCAGTTTAAAGGATGTAATTCTATCTCTCTTTACTGGTTCGTTTAAGAATGACACTTAAAAAAACCAAAGCCTTACTAAGAACTGGACCTGATCTTTTGTGTCAGGATTGTTCATTCCCATCTGTTTTCTTTATACTACAGGAGTATATGGCCACTGTCCCTACAAGACTCATCACTAGCTGGTTCATTTTGTGTGTATTCAAAACCTTGCAAGGTTTCCTGACTGCCGGGGTCTGAAAACTGTCTGTTCTCATTGTTATAATACATTGAGCAAGGGTGGGCTTTACACAATGACCCTTTGACTCTGTGGGATGGCAGAACTATCAAGCTTTTGAAGCTACCAAGTAGGGTTCTCAGTTTTACATAGTTCTTTCCTTTCCAGGAAAGTTTGTTTAGTTTTGGTATAGCCAGGAAACTGAAGTAATCCAGTATATTTGACAGGGACTTCAGAAATAATCAAAGCTGCATGACATGCTTTTGTTTATGTCTGAAAAGATGTATTTGAACATGAAGTACTGTAAAATTTCCTAAGGTGACTTGATCACATGTTATATTGTTTCTTCTGTGAGTAAAATCCTGAAAAACTTGTGAAAGTCTTTCTTAACACATCAAGAGTTGGTGTCAGGCTAAAGCATGTATGGGAAGTACAGGGAGCCAGGACTGAAAATAAGATTTGAGGGGGAGTGGGGAGAGGTTGTTTTGTTTTGCATTTTGGGGCCAATCCTGCTCTCATTGATGTCAGTAGGAGTTTTCTGTCCTCCTGCTCCTTCTCCCTGCCTGGGTCCTGAACCTGGCTACAAATAGTGACATTCACAACAGGTGGGTTCTCTCATGACCTACTCCAGAGTATAAAAGAAACTGGGGATATCCTTCCCCAAACTTCTTGGTAGGGCGATCTCTTCATCAGCCCCTCCTTCATGGGAATGTTTTGCCCATCAATTGATATTCCTTTGTTTTGCCATTCCTTGATATTCCATTGTATCCTCATGGACACAGTTAATCATAGTAACAGGTATTGGCTTTCTGTGTTTCAGATTCTAGAGTCTTTCAAGGTTCACCCTCAAGTACCCCAGTCTTAGGGCTTGTCTACACAGGAAAGTTATACCAATATAAGATAAGGTGTGGATTTAAATCACTATAGTTATGCCAGTATAACTCCCTGGGTGGACACTCTTATTCTGGAATAAGAGTGGGATTTTGGGGGTTTATGGGAGTTTATGTCACGTTAGAAAGGGTTGAAGCTAAACCAAAGTCTAAAAAAAAAGCCTCTCATTCTGGAATAAGAGTCTCCCCAGGGGGAATTGTACTGGTATAACTATGGCGGTTTAACTATACTGGTATAATTATACCAATATAATTGGTAAAAGGTCTTGTGTAGACAAGCCTCTAACTGTGAAATTTCCCACCCCCGGAGAACAGGTTTCTAGGACTACCCCTGGACTATGGCTGCATCTTAAGGCAAAATGTCCTGTTTCACCACATTTATAGCAGTCTCTCCCCAGTCCCATCTTTCTGAAAAATGGGACAAGTCTGAGAACCCCCTGTCCTTATGGCCACCCATATGATAGGGCCCATTCTTTCCAGTGTGGTAATATAAGGTTCTGTATTGTCTCCTGGCATCAGGCGTGTCATCTCAGGGCCTTTCCACACTGGAATCTGATAGGACTCCATCTCTTTAAGAGCCTTGAACGTTGCAGCCCTTTCTTCCTCTGGCTGGGCCCTCCCTGTTCTGTTGATCTTCCTGAAATCTCTGGAACTCGTCAGCCTGTGGCATGTCATCTGTCTACTGCCTCCCTTTTGTCCGAGCCCACTGAACAGCGAGCCACTTTAGTGTTGCCCTCACTTGGTCAGGTGGGTCACCGAACAATCTTGTCTTTAGTTTAGCAGCTGCCCCTAAAGGACTCAGAGCTTATACTTCATCCCACTCCTTAACTTCTGGTCTGTACCTAAGGGTGGATAGACAGGATCCTTGGTCTAGCTCCTCCAGCACACCCAGCAAGCATCTCTTCTGACATCTTGATGGGTAGATGTCCCCACCACCACCCAGAGAATAGTAAGAAGTTGTACAAAGGTCCTTTCACTGGGCTGTTTAGTTTTGGACTGTAATCTCCAGTGCTTTGATTTATACTTTCCCCTTCTCTAATGCAAAGCGGACTTTTTCCCATGTAGAGCCGAAGCAACATCCCATGCATGACTCCCTAGCAAAGGGCCTGGATGAATGGGTTGGCTTATATAACACTAGTGCTCCAGTCAATCAGCTTGGGAGGAGAAAAGGGCTGGAGCAGCAATAACCAACTATCTAACCAGTCAAAACACATCCCAGGGGTTATCAACATTAACAGTTTGATTAGGCAGGTCTTAGTTAGCACCTACTGGCTAGTTCTCGACCCTCCTACCTCCTTACTGACTGTCTGATCTCCTCTTCCTACCATTTGAACAGTTTCCTGTGGTCTTAATGGGCTCACTTGATGCAGTCCTTCATGTCCTCTTGTAAACAATACCTGGTTCTCTGGTGTGTGGGTATTTGGGCTGTAATCTCCCAAACCTATCAACTAAACCCTGAAGAAAGGATGGGGGAAAGCCACCCAACAGAAACCTGGCAGCATCTTTAGGTATTTGACTGTTCTGTCACATACACCAGTCAACATTCATGGGCCCTGCATACTCACCAATGGCTATGGCCCTGATCCAGCAAGGGGTGTAAACTTGTGCCTAACCTTAAGCGTGTGAGTAGTTCCATTGATGCCAGTGGGACTACTCACGTGTTCAAGTGCCTTCCTGAGCTGGGGCTTTTACCAGAAAATCTAATTTTTTCCCAGTGTCTGAGTTTCAGAGCACCCTAAGAAGGAGTAATGACAGGATAGTTTATACCTAAGAATTCATCTGACTCTTCAGTCTGATCATCTTACTCCAAAGAGAACAACCCACATTATCCTCTTAGAAACAACTGATCTTGTAATACATTGTTTCCTTCCGAGACAAATTTTACAAGAGGCAATAGCAGGCCTGGGGAGGAGCGGGAATCACAGGACCAGATTTCTGAATAACAGACCCCTTTTAGCACCCTCAGCATATTTGTGACCAATTGAGGAAGGGCTGAAATAGGGCCCAAAAGGGCCCCATTTCTCCCCCTGCTGACGTCAGTGGGAGTTTTTCCATTGCAGTGGATGGGAGAGAAGCCAGCCGTAGCTAGACAGCATAGTTTGTCTATTAAATTTCTAAAACTCTGTGTTTTCAGTGGTTTAATTACCTTAACTTCACTAGAGGAGCTCCTCATTTACATACACATACAGCAATGTCAGGAGTGGGTCACAGGACTATTTAAATATATAGCATAAGATGGACATGAATAAAGATTCTATGCAAATGAAATAACATCATTTGTCCTTACCCAGCAGAACAGTATGTTTAGATGTTTTTTCTTCCATCTGCCCCATCATCTCTCATGTCTATTTCATTCTAATAGCCACCGGGTCAGGGAATCTTGTTACAGGGATAACTGACAGTGCTTGCAGCATTTCCTGTAGAATTGCCATGATAATGTCCTCAATGAGCACAACCCACAGCTCTGCTGCCAGAGTTGCACACTGATCCAGCATTGTGCCAACCTCCAAGCTGGAAAGTGCTTGAATTATATTCTGTTCTTCCCGTGTCTTGCCCTGTAGGTAAAGTCAGAGCGATTTTTTTCCCCAGCACACCGTCTCTAATTTATAACATCAAAAACCAAATGTGACTCTCCATGGGCTGCTTAAATCCAGCAGGGGCTCCTCTCTAAGGAAACTGAAATAAAACGCTTCTGAAATGTAAAAGGGTTTTAAATCTTCATGCCAAAACTGTATTGCAAACCTCATTAGAGTGAAATGATTTCTATTGATAGAAAAAGCACTGTACAAAACAGAGTCCTCTCAGACAGCCACATCTCATTTTAATGCAAATACAGCAGCCTCGTTACTAGTAAGCAGCTTCTCTGTGTCTAGATTATCCAACCTAGTGTGCCCTGGACAAAAAACTTTAAACTGTGATTTGTTATGATCCTACAGGAAGAATTAGCATCTCATACACTTTGAAGGCCAGATTCTGCCACACTTGTAGTGTACTCTACCAGCAATCTCACTGAAATATCCCTGGAGTACTCAATGTAAGCATGGCAGAATCTGTTCCTGATAGGGGTTAGGGCCCAGAACCTCAAAGCTATTTAGGTGCCTGGCTCCCATTGAAATCAGTGGGAGGTAGGTGCCTAAATAGTTTTGAGGATTTGGGCTGGGTTCTTTAAAGAAAATGGCTTTGATCATCCTTTGCAATCATGCAGGAATTGGTATATTTACTAATGGCTAAGGTTATAGTCTTTCCAAGTAGTGTGTCCAACTACTTGGTGTTTGAGATCTACTGAGATGAGGTTATTTTTCACAAATAAAATCTCCTGGGAAGGACAATCATTAGATTCCCAGCTACTAGCCCTGGAGAGAGTACACATGCACCCTGTAGCAGGATTTGGCTGTAAATCTGAACACACAAGGTAAAATTTTTCTTATGCTTCTGTTTTCAGGGCAAACTTATTTTTGGTCCAGTATGGTCAGAACCCCGAGAGTAAATAAGAGAAAACTACTTGTTCTTTGTTTGCTGTTTCTTGCATTACTTGTAAATGGAAACTGATGGTTACTTTGTATCGATATATGTAATTTTTACACAGTGCAATGCACAATTACTATGTGCGGTGTTGTTGTAGCCGGGTTGTAGAGAGACAAGGTGGGTGAGGTAATATCTTTTATTGGACCAACTTCTGTTGGAAGTTTGTCTCTGACACCAACAGGTGTAGGTCCAATGAAAGCTATTACCTCACCCACCTTGTCTCTCTTGCACAATTACTGTAGTAGGTTTTCTCCCACCACCACCCCACCTTTCTGCTTCCCATAAAGAGGATTTGAGGAAACAGAGTGACAGCAATAGATTTCTTGTTATTCTCTCAGTCTGGAACAGAAGGTTCCATACAATTTTGTAACCCTGTAGGGATGGATGCCTTTTCTTAAAAAGTTCTTCGTTCAGGAATGGATACCAAGCGATAGCTCACTTCTTTGTGCAGTGTGTTTGTATACAGCATATGTCGGTTTTTCCATGTCCAGTGCCATGGGAAGTGGATAGGCTAGCCCTTTGGAAGTCATGAATTCTGTGGTGTCCTTCTACAGAAGGGAAATTTAGGTTAGATATTAGGAATAACTTTCTAACAGTAAGGATATTTAAGTACTGAAACAGATTAATAGTGGAGGGTATGGAATCCCCATACTTGGAGGTTCTTAAGAACTGGTTAGACAAACACCTATAAGGGCTGATCTATGTGTACTTAATCCTGCCTCAGCATGGAGTGATGGACTAGATCTGTGGCTCAAACTTATTTGATTGTGCCTCCATTCTTTGTGTCTGTAGTGTATGCCTCAGTGTATGCCTCAGTCGCCACTCTCCTACAGCCCAGCTCCAAAGGCAGAGCAGAGAGCAGCGGCTGCTGGCCGGGCTGCCAGCTCTGAAGGCAGTGCCGCCGCCAGCAGCAGGGAAGTAACGGTGGCATGAGATGGTACGGCCACCCTTACTTCTGCACTGCTGCTGCTGGCAGTGCCCTCAACAGCCACCCCTCTCCGGCCACCCAGCTCTAAATGTGCACCGTACATTTTTTCCCCCTAAAGCATCTCATGCCCCCCAGAGCACATTCCAGCCCCCACCCCAGGAGTGTGTTCCCCCGTGTGAGAACCTCTCAACCGGATGACCTCGTGAGCCATACATTTCTATAATTCTATTATTATTATTGTTTTACTTGACAAAAATAAAGTTAAGTTTTGGATCACTCCATCTATTTGGAGAGAGCTAAATCCCCCTTCAAACCCAGAATAAACAGCCTGCCATTAATGATTCAAATGGACACATTTAGGCCCTAGTCCTGCAAGGATTTGCACACATGCTTAACATTCCGCATAAGGATGTAGTCCCACCTGTGTAACTTTAAGCAGTGGTTAAGTGCTCGCTGGATCCAAGCTTACTTTCTAAATTATAGTGGGTTACCACATTGTGAAAAATTGCTCCTGTGTGTCTGCTAAAGACTGAATATAGCTCAGCCGTATTGTCAGCATCCTCCAACCTACTCAAAGTAAACTGACTATGCACAGGGCTGTTTAGAGAGGGAAGAAATTTGCTGTCCCTTCTTCCCCGAAGCCTTAGCCTCATGTTACAGTAGCATGGTGGAATGGGGGGACATTGCACAATACACCCCTCCAAAACAAACAAACAAACCCTCCGCATTGGCATGGTCATAGCAGCCTCGCAGAGCACAGCTTTGCAGCATATTAGAGACTCTGTACCTGGTGTACAGATTGCCTGCATCTTGTCTCTGTGAAACGGCACTTTTTCTGTTGCTTTTACATTTGTGTGGGTGCGGCTGAGGGGAAGTTTGTCCCCCAAAGGGCATGCAGTCCCATCCAAATGCTTGCTGTCACTATGGGGAACTTCTTTTTTCCTCTGGTTTCTGTCATGAATGGGCTATTTGATTTAGATCAAAACTGAACTGCCTCCAGTTGCCTCAGTCTTGATGTCAAATGTACCCAGATTCAAGGAAAAAAGATGGGCAATAGCCTGATCTTTAATCCTCTAAAATAAAGCAAGTAAACAGACAGCATATAAATAGTTAAACCAGGCCAACTGGGCCATCTGTATCCAAAGGGAGTGGAAAACAAAATGACACATCCCACAATAGGTTTGCACAACTCCATTTGAAGGGAACAACTGCACTATTTAAAGCGTGACTTGTCTGCAAGCGAGAACTATATTAAAGTGATCACCCTCTCAGGAATGTCCTGGGTTACTTTACAGTTCTAGCTGGGCTTCTCAAAGCCATGTAGGAGATTTGGCTACTCAATTCCCATTGAAAAGTTCAGCTTTTGGATCATTTTTGTAGTACTGTATGTAAATATCACTCGTGGCTTTGTTTTGGAGTGTTGTGTACAGTAATAGCAAAATAATCATAAAATATTAATAAGGAATCTTGCATTCTTAGATTTTTTTTATTGGGGAATTGTATAGACATCCATTAGTCCAGGAAATTCATGGAATTCTTGAAAAGTCTGGCCAGTGTTACTGTTCCACTAAGAAATGCAAGCTAGCTAGTATACTGCATGGGTTTGATATTTTATAGTCAAATATCCTTGTTCATATCTTCCAATGATAACATTTATCATGTATATGTCATGTGAGCTAAAGGAAAGTTGTTATAAAGTAAAAACATTAAACAAAGTTGTTAATTCAAATTAAATTTTAAGAATTTAAAGAATCTGTGTGTTGGGAGGACTATAATGTTATGTTTTTTCATGTATTTTATGCTTTGCAATGAAGTCAAGAAGTGCCCTACAATGTGTTATGTTGCCCCCTAGTGGCTGCTGCCTCCAGGGGGCTATACTATACCATACAAGGGTGAATGTTTTGAGTGGGACAACTAGTTATCACAAGTTATTTTAATGTCATTATTTTTGTTTCAGATGTATTTACAGTATTGCTTGTTAATCTGTTCACCAGTCTTAAATTAAACATGAAATACTGGTTCATAAGAGGGTCTTTGTTAGAGACTGCCTTTACACGTGTTTGTTCACTGTTTCATTTTAAACCCCTTCATTCAGACTTAGAATAAGATAAAACCTGAAGTATCAGGTATGAAAAGCTCTTCCTGTTGTAAAATAACTTCCTTAAAATAATGGCCTCAGGATTTGATTTAAGCCTGCCACAAAGAGGTTCAGAGCCAGGCACAAGTGCAATGTGTGACCTGCCCCAACCTTTCACATATAGCTCTGAGGGATGAACTGTCCCATGCATTTAACGGAGTGTTAAAGGATCCACTGTTCTGTCAGGTCCCACCAAAATCACTCAGCAGAAGGGAGCCACTGGGGTAGGTAAAATGGGGGTGGAGGGTGAAGGAGAGAGGAGACACCTGCGGCTTCCAGTAGAGAAAGAAAAGAAGGCCCCACACTACTGCACCTGTTTCTCTGGATGTGGGGGGGGAGCATCCCTGCTACCCCAAGTGAGGGGAGGGGCCACAGTGGAGGACTGGAGCCATGGTATGGAACCCTCCTATGTTACTGTGTGTCTGTGTCCCCAGATTACTTTAATCTTGCCCTAATAACCAGAGCTATCAGTGCGGTGCTTTCACTATCTCTAATCATCACTTGTGTTGCAGGTGTGTCATTTCATATACATGTGGGCTGCTGAAATATAACTATTTAGATAAAGTATGTATGAAAGTACCATGACCGCAGGAGCTTCACTTTTGCAGTGTGCTCCGAGTGACCCTGTTTGCAAACATTAAGCGGGAGCTAACTAACTGCTTAAAGATATTTCCTTGTTTTCCAAGCCATGCCCTGATCCCTGCTATTTTCCATCCCCTTTGGCACCCTCCCTTTGTGAGCTGACCATCCTTCCACCAGCGGGGTTTAAGAGATCTTCCTGAACGAATGAGCCTGCGTGTTTTGAACAATTGGAACGTTAAGTAAATCAGAACTATCTGAAAAATTGCAAGTTGGAAAGGAGGTCAGCTGGGAACTGGAAAGCTCTTCCCGTGACCAACCTGAGTGGTCCTGTTTGATCTCACTGAGGCTGCAGAGGTTTAAATGAGTTCAGATTTGGTCCCACCACTTCACGTAACACTATCCTGGGAAGTTTCGACCATACGCACAGGAATGTTTACACATTCGTTTCTTAGGCTATCCGCTCCTGAGCAGGACTTCTAATGAATCATCAGTTCACTCCCACTGAAGGAAGGCTGGAGAATATGCTCCTTCAACCCAAATTAAATCTGGCAGATTCTTCTATGCCTGATCCAGCAGATCATTCCAAGCCTGGTATTGTTGGAGTAAAAGGATTCCAGTGTCATTTTCAAAGAGGAGCTAGGCATGCCTTTAAATAGGGGACTGAGCAGAAGCAGAACAGGGGTCCCAAAGACCAATGGTTAATCTACTATGAAAGTGCTGCTCCAAAGTTCGGTAATGCTGCTGAATGATCAGGTCTCTTTGCTAGGTGGGTATTTAGCATTAAGTTTTACCCACTGTACAAGAAAACAACATTTGAAAAAGGCAGTCTTGCACATTTTGTTTTCATTAAATTAGTGGGGGAGAAAAATACATTGAGGGCCATCTTTTCTAAAGGGTCTAACCCAGCCTCTAAATGCATGGGTCCAATTATGCATAGGCAGCCTCTGTTCACTACCCCCCTCTCCTATCCCACACACTCCACTTTAGATAAGCAGTCTTTGCATGTGATATTTGTGTTGCTAGGTGAGCTGTCTACTGGGCTGCGGCATTCATATGTTGTTTACCTGTGAACATGGGCAACTGTAAATTTAGAGACCAATAAAAAAATCTTTTCAATGTGTCTTTCCATTGTTAAGTGAAAAATAATCAAGGAAGTGTCTTCTAATGGTTAGAGCATGGGACAAGGATCAATGAGTTCTAGGTACCATCTTAATTTCTTTCACTAACTCACTCATTCAGTTTTCAAACGCTCCTAAGTCTCATTGGTTCCTAAAGACCAAGATGATTTTGAAAATTGTATGCAGAAGCGCTTTGTGCCTCAGTTTCCCCATCTATAAAATGGAGTCAGCATTGTCTACCTGACAGGGAGGGTTGTATGGCTGGCTTGCTTGTTTGTAAAGTGTTTTGAAATGCTGGATGAGAGGTGTTGTTGTTAATTGTTAGTAGTTCAGGGCAGCACACCCCGAGAGAAGCTTTCATCCACTGGGTTTCTTACTAAACAGGCGTGCTGTTTTCATTGTCATTCTATAATCTCATACATCCTCTGTCCTATCCCACCCCCGGGGGCTTCTTTGGCTGCCATGTTAGAACCAAGGATTCACCCTTTCATGTCCCTAGAAGTAGTTCCCTTTTGAGGGGGAGAGGGGTGGTGGGGATGTGCCACATTGCAGAGTGAGAATACACCTATATTAATGCTGATAGGTATACTGTAACTGTCTAAGACACTTGGCAAATATCGCAAAGGAATCTGGCATAGAGTCTAGTAGGGAGGGAGAAGGAGCAGTGCTGAGCTACTTCTTGATGAAGGGCGCCAAGATTTTCAAGGATCTGGACGTGGGAGGACAATAGAACTGCATCTCAAAGACGAAGCCTATTAAAGCAGCACCAGCACTGAAAGGCAAAAAGTCAGTCAGTTTCATTCTTCCCCAGAAGAAATCCATAGTGCCACCAAGCAGGGCAAGGAGGAATTCTGTAGCAGCTGTGGCTGTTACTACACTGACTCTAAAAACATCCGACAAGCCACCTGCAATCTCTGATTGGTAAGTGTTTGGCCAAAGAAGAAAGACTGAACAATATGAGGGCATTTGTCTCAAGCTGTAACATAGATGTGGGAAAGACAGCTGGAGTGAGTAGAGAGGGGTTGGGGGGGAAAAATGCCCTATGGAAATGGAGGTAGAGAAGATGCAGTGAAGGAAATAACTTCATATAATACACAGTTTGGTCTTTAAGGCCACCTCAAGTTGTTCTGTAATCTTGGTTACAAGCTAGGTACTGCCTCATTTCCCAGCTGTTTTCTCTTCCCTAATCATTCTTTGAGGTGGCTACAAAATAGAATGTGTCTGCATTTTTTTTAACTTGCCAAGATAGGTAGCAAAATGTAAGTTAGTAAGAAAACAATAGCCAGGCATGCTACTGTTATCAGGACAGATCCTCAGCTGGTGCAAATCAGTGTCACTCTTTGAATTCAATTCTCCAATTTACTTCAGCTGTGGATCTAACCCATCATCTGAAAAAGAGCCATATCACCCAATCAATCTGTTTTGGAAGAAGAACACTGCAAGCTGTGTATGTGAGAAATGGCTTCCTTAGATTTTGATTTTGCAATATCTTTACTTAACATTATGTCTAGCAAAACTCATTCTAGAATATGCCTTTGAGGCTCGACTCTTTGATAGCTGTTGCCAGTGGAAGTCAGGTGCAATCAGAGTAGGAAAACGTAATGCACAGTAGTCTAGAGCTTGGAATAGCTGCTTAATAAGTAGAAATAAATAGTTGTCGAGATGCACATGGTAGACATTGATGACTGGTAGTCTTCGCTGAGACTGTACTTTGGCTGTGACTGTTCACTGAGGCCCAGATCCTCAAAGGAATTTAAGCCCCTAACTGCCATGGAAAGCAATGACAGTGAGGGGCCTAAATACATTTGAAGATCTGGGCCTTACAGGATTATATGGTGCATTTCATGCATTGAGCTCAGTGCTTTACAAACTGTGATTGGAAATAAAGGATAGGAAAGCGTGTCACACTTACAGACTCAAGCTGTTTAATTTAGTTCACTCTATTTAACTTAAGAAAGAGAAGGTTAAGGGGTCACTTGATCACAGTCTATGGCTACGTCTACACCGGGAGCTGGGGGTGTGATGCCCAGGCCATGTACAAATACGCTAGCTGGATGAGAATTAGTGAGGGTAAATAGCAGTGTAACCTTGGTAGCGTGGGCCGTGGAGACACAGCTAATCTGCTACTCATGCTACCGCAGCTGTGCTACTATTTGTACTCGCACTAGCTCTCAGCCAGGTAGCGTGAGTGTGTGTACATGAACTGGGAGTCACACCCCCTAGCTCTTGGTGTAGACGTAACCTAGGAGCACCTACCTAGGTGCAAAAAATGTCCAATGGGCTCGTCAGTCTAGCAGAGAAAGGTCTAACAAGATCTAGTGGCGGGATATTGAAGCTAGACAAATTCAGACAGGCAATACGGTGCTCTTGTTTAACCGTGAGGGGAATTAACCATCGAAACGACTTCGTAAGGGCTGGGGGTGCATTCTCTGTCACTGGCAATTTTTAACCAAGTTTGGGATGTTTTTCTAAAAGATTTGCTGTCGTCGAATAGGACTCCAGTCAGGGAAGGCCTCTGGCTTGTGTTATACAGGAGGTCACTAGATGAACACAGCACTCCTTTATGGCTTTATAATCTATTAAATTAGTTGTGCAGTCTGAGGGCTAGTCTACACTGGCAATGCTAAAGGGCTGCCCCAGCAGCACTTTGACGTGGCTTGTGAGGTCGCGGCGCTCCCCCAGCGCTCTAAAAAAACCGCTTCCTCAAGGGGCGCGGCTCCCAGCGCTGGGGCACCGTCTACACTGGCGCGTTACAGTGCTGACACTTGCTGCGCTCAGGGGGGTGTTTTTTCACACCCCTGAGCGAGACAGTTGCAGGGCTGTAAATTGCCAGTGTAGACAAGCCCTAAAGCTTCAGAGCATCAGCACAAACCCAGAGGGAATAATCAGCTTTTATAGGTATTCACTGGGTGCAAGGCTGCCCCACCATATATGGAGAACTGGGATTTAAGGCCCCCATCCAATTCTCACTGAGGTGCAAAACACGCTAGGGTGTCATCTGGGATCAGGGAGAGAAGGCCCGAGAGAAACAGAGTGGGAAATGTCTGCTCTGCCCAGAAAAGAAATCTTGACTTCTGCCATGTGAGGTATTTGCCTTGGCTGGGCCTGAAGCGGATGAAATGGTGGCTGAGGCCCAAAGTCCTACAGATAAATTGGTGTTTATTTTGTATTTATTCATCC